CCGTGATTTACAATATGTGTTTGCATAAATTTGATGATCGTATCTGCCTTGTTATTTGCTACCACTTTTGCTGATGGGAATCTTGAGAATCTATCTACCCCAACTAGGATGTACACGTCTTTATTGTTTTCATCCGGTAACGGTCCGGCGAAATCCAATTGCATTTCCTCATTCGGTTCGACTACGGCGTCTGGGCTAGTGAAGTGTTTCTTACCGGACATTACTCGAAAATTCTTACCTTTGGCGCGACATTCTTTGCATTTTTGCGCTGCTGTAACTATATCTCTATGGAGATATGGATACCATATGTGCTTGGCAGCTTCCAGCATGCCGCCTTGTCCCGGATGAGTTAGGTGGATCGAGTCTAGAATGATTTGCCTTAACTGCTTTGGAATTACTACTTTGTCATCATAGAGTAAGACGTTGTTACGGACGGACAATCGGTCGCGCACGTTGTAAAAATATGGTCCGTAGCAGGCCTTGATCTGATCCCACTTTTGTTGGCGTACCATATTGATCAGGGGTTGAAGGTTGCGATCACGTTTCGTGGCCGCCGCGATAAAATCCAGGTCGAGTGCTTTTCGGAGATTTTTCCGAAATAGCGGTACGTCTTCCTCCTCCATAGAGATGGCTTGACATTCTGCCGGTTGGTCTGGGGGGTCTGTTTGACACAACTGGTCTGACTTTTTATTAAAAGTGAAACTATCCTCCGACGGGATCACTTGGTGCCTTACATCGCTGAATGAGAGAGTTGATTGGCTTGGTTCCTCCGGAATTTCTGTGAACGATGCAAAATTGGTAGGCGGAATTGTTACCGTCGTTTGTTGTCCGCTATGACATTTTCTTAGAATTCTTTTGAACGGGGGTAGTGCTATTCCTGTTTGTAGTTGTCGATTCATCTTGGTGTCAAGTGAAGCGCTGGATTGTGTGGCCAAGTAAGGTTGGTTAGACTGATGTATTTTGTTTACTGTGGATTGGTTTAAAATGTTTGAATTTGATCGAGAGTGACTGTTTTCTAGAAGTTGACTATTAACAGTGAATTCTGTTGCTTTTGCGTGCGAATTTGAACGAGGAAAGTTTTCGTTCCGGTCGAGCTGTAACGTGCGTTAAACTCCGTTTGGATTTTCGATCATTTCAATGTTAGCTATGATGCTGTCTTGAAATTCAAGGCAAGAAATGAAATTATCAATAAGTACGACTACGAAATGTTCGTCCCAATACGCGGGGGTTTGTGGTTTCCCCACCGGATGGCGCAAAATATAATCGATTAAACCCATTTTGCTGCCGGAAAGGTGTTTTATGTCAAAATCAAATGGGAGGAGACGGTCAATCCATCTAGTTAGGCAACTTTGTTTTATTACTCTTATTTGGTGGTCAGTAATTAATGTAAAACGGCGGCCATACAGATAATATTTAAAATGATCAATGGCCCATACTGCAGCTAGATGTTCCAACTCGTTTACTGAATATTTATTTTCGCACGTGTTTAGAAATCTGGAAGCATATGCCACCGTAGCCCATCCATCTGGAGTTTCTTGTTCAAGTGCTGCTCCGATACCATCGCGGCTTGCGTCGCAAACTATTCTTGTCTCACGATTATTTACGAAGTGTCGATTTTCTGTGATATTTTGCACCGCTGTAAGAATGGTTTTAAATGCCTCTTCATGTTTTTGTTCCCAAACGTAGTGAAATTTGGAAGAAGATGATAAGAGTGGTCTCAATGGTGTACACAATTGTGCCAAGTTTGGTATAAATTTATTTAGATGGTGGACCGATCCCATAAAGCTTTTGAGTTGTTTGAAAGTTTTAGGGTGTTGGAGTTTTGTAATTGCATCGGTTTTCTTGTGCATTGGTATGGTTCCATATTCATTTATGACAAACCCCAGCCATTCTACTTCTTTACAGCCGAATTTACATTTATTTAATGAAATAGCCATATTTTCTTGATCTAACTTGTCTTAGACTTTTTTCAATTTATCGATGTGTTGATCTTTAGTTCCGTGGGATATAATCAATATGTCGTCAAGAAAAGGGAAGGTATCCTATTCGTTGTTTAACGTTAGATCAATGGCCTTCTGGAATTCTGCGGGCATATCCTTGAGCCCGTAGAATCCAGTCTGGAATTGATAGGTGCCTGTTGCTTGCCCGCCAATTATACTAAAGTTACACTGCATTTTAGTTTTATCATCCAATTTCAGTTGACTGTAGGCATATCGAAGGTCAATGGTAGAAAAGTATGTTGTCCCTGATTTACCATTACCTTCTTGAGCTGATTGGGTTACATTATCGAAGAGTACGTCGATGTTTGGCATTTGATACTTGTTTTTATGTATCGCTTTGTTAATTTGTTTTGAATCCTTTGCTAGTTTTATTGAATGATCTTTCTTTACCGTTATTACGATTGGGCTAATGAATTGCTTGTCGCTACAGCTATCTAGTTTCACAATATGGCCTTGGTCAATCAAGGATTTGAGTTCTTGTTCGACCTTTTCCTGAATGTGAATAGGAATTCTGCGCCCTTTCTGTTGTAGCGCCTTAAAGTCGTGTAGAAACTTTGAATGAACCTCGTGGTTTTTTGAGCGTCCGATGCGTGTGCACAACCCCGGGTATGATGATTTGACCCAATTTGTAATGACTGTGTCTGATTGCTTTGAGTCAGTTATATAATTGATTGACTTACCAGTTGGTTTTTCTTGGTGAAGATGGATGCCTAGTTGCGGTAGGAGATTTCTTCCCAGGATATTCGCCCGTTCATCGTCAACCACAACAAATGGCGCGGTGTTGATTGTCCACCCTCCTGACTCTATGGGGGCAATCAGCCTGCCGAACGCCGGAATTTTGCAACCATTGTAGCAGACCATTCTATTAGCCTCGTCGTCTTGATTGATTTGAATGCGTCTGGCCCTTGACACTTGACACTGTATTCTGTAGTGTAATCGCTGTTTTATTGTTTACAAATGACGTTGGAGACCCTGTATCTGCAATGAAGGTATTATTATTATTCCCTATCTTAACTCGAATGAGATGTCCTATTAAGTCGTCCGTCGTTAGTTTTTCTGCCGTTTCTTCTTGAAAGTTTACAGCATTTACGCTATTGTCATCTGGGTGGATGACTTCCCATCCCGGAACGACATCCCCTGCCTGGAGATAACCAACGTACGCCGCTATATCTGTGTCCTGCATATTTAATTCGGGATCTGTTTCTTCACTGATTGCATTAACGTTTGAGGAGTTACAGAGTCTTGCGTAGTGTCCTCTTTTCGTGCATTTATTGCAGATTTTGTCTTTTGCCGGACATTGTTGGAGGTGACCAGGTCCGAACGGATTACTGCACTTAAAACAAGATTGTTTCCTGTCTCTGTCTTGTCGTTGCGAATTTCCCCGCTGTGGTTGTCCTCGACCCCTGTTGTTCCCCCGTCTATTATTGCGGTACGAGTCCCCTCCTCGTCTTTGAATGAACCCAACTGGTTCGGACTTTAAGCCCGTTTGCTGAGAAGAAATTGCTGATGATCCTTGCTTGCGTATTTGCAGTTGGTTTTCCAAACCTTTCTCCCTGCGTATTGCATATTCAAATGCTTGGTCGGGGGTTTCCGTCTCGGCCAGTAGGTCTTTTTGTACCTCATCATTTGTCATATTTGCTGTGAATAAATCTCGAATAATTTCAGTCTCCAACGTGTTATCATTGAAATTAGGGCATTTGAAGCTTCCCTTAATGACCAATTCCGTGAGGCCACAGTGGAACTGCTCAAGCGTTTCCGTCTTGTTTTGCTTTCTTGTGAACGCCTCGTATCTGTCAAATGTAACGTTGCGGTCTTTAATAAAGAGGTGCTCTAGTCTATTCCAGAATGCCCTCGTTGATGTCTCTTGTATTTTAGATCTGGGTAATGTTGGCTGAGACGTCTTTGTCCTTCGTTACCAAGACTGAGGTAAATATAGCTTCTGACTTTTATGTCGGCTTCCTCCCATGGTATTCCGTCCACGGTGGGTCCCAAGTTATCCAATTGGGCACATTGATTATCCCATTGGATCCTTTTCTCTTGGTTGCGTATGTTTCTGTCCCTAGTTTGTGATTGAGTTTGCCCCTCTATAGGGAGCTCATAACCAGGTTCTTGCGGTTTTCGCACTGCGGGTGGATCTCTTAATAGCTTTTGTAGATTTATTCCGTCTTTTGCGACGATTCCTAAGTAGAGCTGTTGGTTCCATTTCTCCCACTCGGTTGGAGGTTCCGCCGAGGCTTTCTGCCAAAATGGGGCGATACCTAGTGGGTTTTTTGTTGTGAGCGCTGGCTGCGCCATGTTATACCCTCAGCCGTTAGGTGGGGTATAATCTATATAATCTATGTAATCAAAGTCTATGCTGATCGCTAACTGAGAATAGAGAAATAGGAAAATTGACAGAACAACTTAAATTCAATTGATAAAGTTAAGTCTGATTCGAATCTGACCTCGAAATCGTAAGAGCGACAGAGACTCATAAATAACTATTGAATATGGTGTTAGGTTTAATAGGTACTTAATTTAGATCAGACGTCTATATGATTACGTTTACATAATGTTACATAAGTAGGTATGGTTAACGTTTAGACTATAAACGATCTATGTAACGTGTTTTAGTTATACAGAGTTCTAATGGATATCCAGTATGTCCGTACGGATAACAATTGAATTCAAAAACGTTTTAACTTTTTGCGTGACAATTTTCTGGCAAAAAGATATTATAATCAATTATAATCAAGTATAATTGATTTAATGAGTCTTTATTTAAGAAGTGTTATAAATGATAATGGATTATTAGAGATTATAACCTCTTGTCAAATATCACGGTTATAATCGATTATAAATCTTTTGAACACCTAGTTTTGGTAATAATAATCATTTATAATTGTCAAACATTTAGAATAATAATTTTGTTCTAATCAGTTACTAAAGTTTAAAATTGAATTGGGTGGTAATCACTCTCCTAGATTTGGGTTTAAAACTTGTTTCGACTTCTTCCTTCAGGGATCTGCTGGAGCATGTGGAAGCTGAAGTGGGCAGTCTGACTGCGCAAGTGACGTCCAAGTGTCTGCAAAATGTGACCATGGAGAAGAACTTGGAAGAGGTAAACACGTGCTTGTTCAATCTCCACTATCCCAACTAAGCTAATTCGAATATTTTCATACTTTTTGTTTCTAACTTTTCAATTTATTTCTCCGAGCTTGTGTCTAGTTCAACTTTCATTTTTCGAAAACTTAAAGAGTAGGAAATTTGTTAAAAGGTGTACTTATGTAAATCAACACTTTCTCATCAAGTTTCTCATTCTTGAAATTAAATTTAGCTTTTGAGAAAACTGATTTCATCAGACAAAAAAATTTACTCCGACCTTTCGAAAATTGTGGAGGAACTTTGCTTTCGGGCGGTGTATTTTAGTTTTTTTTGTGTTCCACGCAAAATCAGGCACCACAAACCGTCTAATTTCGAGCGAGTAACGCCATCGAGTAATGCTTGTTATGTAGATTGTACTGTTTTCTAAATCTTTTTGGATGAAAACGTGCTTGCCAAGAAAGGGTTTTTAAAACAATTTCAAAATTGTTGAGCAAAAAGTTATCATGTCTAATTTATTAATTTTCTACGCGATTGTATTGTTCTTGAGTCACACCATCCACTTAAAACGACACTAATTTGATGAAAAGTGAAAAAACTATGGTCGTAACATTCTGTGCTTCTTACACAGTAACCAGCTGTCCTTGTTTTTGTAGTGCAGTTTGAAAATGAAAGGAACAAAAATGCTGTTTTTGGAACACTTTTTGTTTAGTTTCTGATGAGTGTACTTTGAGCCCGACCTGGAGAATGCTTCAAAACTACAAAAAATCTGACTCCTTTTTTTAAGCTTTAATTAGCTTGAACAACTGCTACTAAATTTTTTTTACGTAATTGTCTGGAAATGAGCAATTGGGAAGATTTTTAGTTTCAATAAAACTATTGAAATATTGATTTAAGGAAAGAAAAACAAAATGTTGGCATCTTAAAAAATTACTGCCGTTGGTTTTAGAAAAATAGTCAATGCAACATTTGAATTGGCAATTGAACTGTTTTTATTTGAGCAAATTTCAAAAAAAAAGATGTTTTCGATGCTCCAGGCCTTTTACCAACTGCGCCATTAAAAAATACATTGGTTTTTTTACGCGTTTGCCAAGCACTGCTGTGTCACTAAGCCGAACATTCGAATAGCAGATAATATTATGTTATCGAAGAGCCAAACGTTTTTGTTTTCAACCTGCATAATCAAAAAAGTTTTTATTCGCGCAAAAGCCGTTGTATTTTTAATATCAATGTGATTGTAGAATTCAAAACAAATTTAAAAAAGGCTCCCTCCCATCAAAGCCCCCAAACACAAGATAGACAATCAGTATGCAAAATTTAATTGATTAATTGTGTGAGGATGTTTCAAGTAAAAATTCACCATTCGAACACTTTTTAATTGTGTCGAAGAAATTGAAGCTTTTCCAAAACACAACTGAGTCATTATCTTGGCCTAATTTTTCGGAAACAAAACTTGTATTTAATTCCCATTTTTGTACACTTTTTTTAAGCACGTGCTTTGTTCCCTTCCGTCAAGTCAGTAAAATCACAATTTTACTTAGCTGTTCACGCTCTGTTTTTTTTAAGCTGATTTTTTTTTTTGCCAAGCCGGAAATTAATTTTTTTTTCACAAATAGCAGAAGAATTTTTTTTGCGGGTCGCCAAAAAGACGCACTAAATTAGTTGCACTCTTGTTGCTAATTGATTCTATAACGATAATAGATTTTTACAATAAAATAAGAATGGATGCCTGGAAACTTTGGAACAAAAATGTCTGAATTTTTCGAAGAAGATTAGTGTCATTTTTATATCTTTTTCTTTTTTTTTGGTTTAATCATTTTTCACAGATTATCCGGGTTGACCAGAAACGCTAGTCATACAATTTTAATACATGAAACAATGGCAACCATACACTTTTTATGCATTTCCATTAGTACAGAAAGTTACTTATAAGTCTATGATTGGTAATTTTTCACACATGGAAACTGCTTGACTAGCATTTTTCCATGAACCAAAACTTTTGATTTTTTAACATTTATTCTACAATTTTTTTTGGTTTTCGTAACCTAACACAAGGAACAAAAACCTTTGTTACTCAAAAACAGAATCACTAGAGGTTTGATCGTCTTGTAAGTTTTATGCTATGGAAACGGTCTGAGATTTGTCTCACACAAATGATGAAACTTTTTTTTTCAATTTGAAAATTTACCTAATCACGCATTAATCAAGGCATACAAAAACATGCGATACATAAAAATAGACGTTTTCAGCGTTTTTGAAAAAAATGTCCACGGAAAAAACTCAATTTTTGTGATTCCAGTACTAAGTTATGCACAAAAAAAAACTTTTTTTGAATGCAATTTTTTTGGAAAATGTTTGTTGAGTAAAAAATTGGGTATGCGATCAGAAAAAAAATTTTTGGAGCCAATTCGAAACTGCTTGGAAAATCATTTTGCTGTCGGTATCAGAAAAATGCAGGTCATAAGAAATCCATTTTCGGTAATGGTATGCTTAGCATCTTTTTGACAGAAAAAAAATTTCTTTTTCTTTTATGACGATACCCCGACTTATATGCCAAAACATGATAAAAGTTTTCGAAAGTTTGAATGGCCCCATTTTAGGAAATTGTATCAAATTTGTATGATTTGTTTTTTTCATAAGCTTAGTTTATGAAAGTGCCTGATTAGCATTCTCGGTCAATGGAGGTCAACCCGGGTATATGCAGATTATCTTTAGGTTTTTTTGACTATCAAAAAAAGAGAAATTTTGAATAAAGTTTTTTGTATGTTTTTCAATAGAATTTTACTGTTGATACATGGCCTGAATAAAAACATGAGTACAACTAATATTTAAAATATTTGCATCGAAACAAATGCAAAAAACTCATTTTGTTTTGTTCATTGGCCTAACAGAATTGAGCTTAAAATGTTGATAGTGATACAAATAGTGGTTGAATGATGAGCACAAAGTTTTGAAACGAAAGCAACGGTCTTAAATTTATCAATTTTGTTGAGATTCTGATGAAAATTAGAACCCTACAAAAATCCCTTTTAATCGTTCTAAATATCAAATTTTTTGCCTTAAAAATGATTTTTACTCTCTACTCAAAATCAGTTCAAAACTTTCTAGCTCGATTTGCCTATCTGAATGGGCTGCTGCAGTATAATTCTTGTGCAGTATAATTTTTGTGCAGTATACTTTTTACTGTATATAAATTGCCAGTCCGGGCTCGCTATTTAGTATTCCGTTTTGTTGCAAGTTATCGTTAAGCTTTCGGTTTTCTGAGAACGTAACTCTCCACGCTTCGGTGCATCCTTTAACCATCAACTCCATAAATTGAGCTTACGGCAATGTTAGTGACGAGCTTTGAACTTCTGTCGAGACATGCTTTCACCGCACTTTTGTTGATATATTTTTTGATAACTGCATTTAAGAGTTTTGGAAGCAATTAACTGCAGCACAGATAGCGCTTAACGAAACCGCTTGACAAACATAAATTTGATACTTTACAACAGACACGCACTTTCATCAAAACAGTGACAAACCACTCAGCAATGATGTTACCTCTATAATAAGATGTTACCACTATAATGAGATGTTACCACTACAATAAGATGTTAGCAATACAATAAAATGCTTTCCCTCAGCAAAGAATTCAGTTGTCAACCCCAATCTTATATCTCAAAGCATCGTGCAATAATCTGGAATTTAGCGCACCTGATATCGCTTCGCCAATTTCTCGAAATATTTCAAACTAAAAACTCTTTCAAGCTAAAATATGAAAATCTTCTTGGTGAATCTTTTTAAAGGTTTATTAGTTTATTTTTCATACTGCCCTCCTGTTGAAATGTTCTGATCTTACAAAACATGAAACTGAAACCAGATGTATGTTTGAAATAGATCAAAACAACATTTCTGACGTCTGACCACAAAAGCAGTAATTCGACATTAAAATTTCAAAAATTTAATTAAAAAAAGCATTCATGAGAATTTTCTATAAAGTTTGCTTCAGTTCAAGTTAGTAAAACCTCTTTTTTCTGACAATTTTCTCTCTATAAAAATGTTAACTTGTTTCACAAAATTCGAAAATAATTTTCTTAGACATCTTTAAAGATCTTGAAGAATCTTCGAATTTTTGAAGAATCTTCAAGAGCTTCCCCAGATTTTAGCTAGAAAAATTCAAGTTGGCTTGCCGGGCTCAGTGCCATCATAAAATTTTTTTATGGGATGTGCTTGTGATTTGTGGACTATTGAAAGCCTAATAAAACACATTAAATTTTTCAAAGATTTTTTGCTATTTTTGATAAATCTTCAAGATTGATCAAGATCTTGGCAAGATTTTCCAGAGAAGCCATGGCCGAGTGGGTCAAATCGAGGGTTATGCGTTCGAATCCCACTGCGTTCACGGTTGCAGTAACCGACTGTGCAAACCACCCTCACCAACGGTTGGTCCTGCATTGGACAGGGCCTGTGGCTGAGAATTAAAAAGAAAATTTCGAGAAGATTAGAAGAGTACGAAATGAATTGCTGTTGCTAAAATGTTGTCGATTAGGGTTCTTAAGCTAAAGCTAGATACGGCTGCTCCCTACAATTATTTCATTTAGTTTTTGTTCCTTCCGGATTTTGAGATGAACTTGTCTATTTGTGGCCAATAGGTGATGGAGGAGGTGGACATTCTACGATCTCACAACACTATTCTCGAACAGCAGCTCAACTCAGTGGCAGATGGACCAGAAGAGCGAAAAGAACAGCTATGAAAAGAAGGAGGAACTACTTAGCCTCATCCTCACACTCTTATAATCTGAAAAGCAGACACACACTTACAGAATACAGCAAGATGACAAATGTGCCATGCTTCTCTACCATTCTCTAACTTATGTTCTCCATGCTCATGCGTGTTTTCGACACTATACTTCTTTTATATTTACTTTTCACTCCTCAAATTGTTTCATCGGGCTCTTTCCTGGCCATGCCGAAACGAGATTTTTCACCTAATTTGAAGCACGTTTCGCCTAATTTGAGCGTTTTGAGCGGTTTTTTAGACGATTGCGCTTAAAATCTTGCTTCAAAATGAGCGGTTTGAGCGGTTTTTGAACGGTTTATCTAAAAAAGGCCGCTCAAAAACC